ACTGAGGCTAAGGAAGAGGTGAGCTCCACAGATCCAGCCATAGCCAAGTTGCTGGAAGAGTTCAAAGACTTGTCTGAGCCGCCGACAGGAGTAGTGTTGCGGCTTATCCAACACAGGATAGAGATAGAGCCTGACAGTAGAACTCCTAAGGGAGCAGTCCACATGATGTCCCCTAGAGAGTTAGAGGAGCTATGCAAGCAGTTGGACGAGCTCCTTGAGAAAGGTTGGATCAGGCCCAGTTCGTCTCTTTTTGGAGCACCAGTTCTATTCGTCCCCCAAAAGGAAGAAGAGCTAAGAATGTGTATAGACTACACGGGTCTGAATGCGATTACAGTCAAAAATGCTGAACCACTGCCCAGGATAGACGATCTCTTAGATCGGGTGCAGGGTTGTAAGTATTTTTCAAAGATAGACTTAAAGTCTGGATATCATCAGATAGAGGTCCATCCTGAAGACCAGTACAAGACTGCGTTTCGGACCCGTAATGGACATTATGAGTTCATAGTGATGCCCTTTGGACTGATCAATGCGCCAACAACATTTTAGCGATGCATGAATGATCTGTTTAGGCCGTGGTTAGATAGATTAGCCGTAGCGTATTTAGACGACATCTTAGTTTTCAGTAGGACCCTCTAGGAGCACCAGCGTCATTTGAGGCAGGTCTTGGAGAAGCTGAGAGAGGCTAACTTCAAGATCAATGCGAAGAAGTGCGAGTGGGCCAAGACACAAGTTCTGTACTTGGGCCACGTATTAGACGGAGATGGCATTAAGCCTAAGGACAGTAAGATAGCGGCGATTAGAGATTGGCCGACGCCCCGCAAATTGACTGAGTTGTGGTCGTTCCTGGGCCTAGCTAACTATTACAGGAAGTTCGTAAGGAACTTTTCCACTATCGCCGCTCCCCTGCGCAGGTTGCTCAAGAAAGAGGCAATCTGGCAGTGGGATAAAGACTGTACGTCTGCGCTAAAGAAGTTAAAGCGCGCATTGATAGAGTACCCGGTCCTCAAAGTAGCAGATCCGTCCTCGCCATTTGTCGTCACCACGGACGCAAGTGTTACAGCAGGACGACGACAATGGCTATAGACCCGTAGAGTTCATGTCAGCGAGGATGCCCTCAGAGAAGGTTGCTACCTCGACGTATGAGAGAAAACTCTACGCTCTCATGCAGGCCTTAGAGCACTGGAAACATTACCTGCTTGGGAGGCACTTCAAGGTGTACGTCGACCATGAGACTCTTAGATGGTTGAAGACACAGGCCAAGATGACACGTAAGTTGACTACGTGGGCCGCTGAGATAGACCAGTATGACTTTGAGCTCAAGCCGGTGAAGGGCAAGTATAATGTAGTTGCGGACGCTCTGAGTAGGAGGTCAGACTACTTTGGAGCCATAGTTCACTATCTGGACATAGGGCGTGACCTGCAGGAGAAAGTTAGACAGGCGTATGCGCAAGACCCTATCTATAGTGACCTCCTGAAGAGAGTTAGAGAGGCCCCAAAGACTGAACCAGATTACCGCACTACAGACGGGTTGCTGTTTGAGAAGACTAATGTAGTGGACCGTCTATGTGTTCCCAACAGTGAGGAGATCCGTAGTCTGATCCTAGGGGAATGCCATGACACAAAGGGACACTTCGGTTGGCAAAAGACATTAGCCAATCTGATGCATGCATACACCTGGCCAGGGATGAAGAATGACTGCATAGATTATGTTCGCACTTGTAAAGTGTGCCAGAGGAATAAGACTACTACACGCGCGCCTGTAGGTCTTCTCAGACCTCTGCCCATTCCTGATCAGCCTGGAGACTCGGTGCCCATAGACTTCATGGATACTCAGGTCAAGAGTAGGCATGGCAAGAGCCAAGTGATGGTCATTGTTGACCGATTTAGTAAGTATGTTGTTTTCGTTCCTTGCCTGCAGAGGCACGTACCGAGCTAGTGATTCGGAAGTTTTTTTATTATTGGGTTAGCGAACATGGAGTCCCGTTGTCTATAGTTAGCGATAGAGATAGCCGCTTTACCAGCCAGAACTGGCAGGAACTGATGAAAGTCTATGGGTCTAAGTTGTTGATGTCGTTTGGCCGCCATCCAGAGACCAACGGTCAGACAGAACAGATGAACAACATCCTTCAGCAAGTTTTGCGCGTGTACATTAGACCTGATCAGATCGACAGGGACGAGATGTTACCTAAGGTAGCCAGTGCATACAATAACATCGTGCATTTGTCCACTTGTCGCACTCCCAACGAATTGCACAAGTCCTTTACACCACGTAGACCGTTTGAGGGACTTAACCGGGATCAGATTCATAGGCTACCGCCCTGTACCAAGGAGTTCGCGATACAACATGAGAAAGAGATAGCCATTGTTGTTGAGAACCTCATTAAGGCCCAACACCGAATGATAGAACAAGCTAATAAGCATCGTCGCCCATCGCAGTTTCAGGTAGGTGACCTGGTCTAGGTCAAGTCTAAAGAGTTTGCATCTGAGGAGAACATCTCGCACAAGTTACTGCTTGCGTATAGAGGACAATGGCCAGTTCTAGAAGTTAGGGGCAAAGAGGATGGATCGTCCTATACTATAGAGATCCCAACACACCTCCACATCTTCCACGCATCAAAGTTGCTGCCGTGTGTCACCAGTCAACAGTTTCCATCGAGACGGTCCATGATCCCTCCAGACATGGACGAAAGATATGACATTGACGACATTGTAGGGGAAGGTGTGTTCAGAACAGGAGGTAGAGGTCGTCCACAGAAGCAGTATAAGGTCCGGTTTGCATATCAGGAACCAGAGGATGACCGCTGGTTCACGAGATCAGAACTTCTAGAAACAGCTCCCGATATAGTTAGAGCCTACGAGAGAGATCAGAAAGGTAAAGGTCCTGCCTTGGACTAAACTATTCTCGAAGGACCTCGAATTTAGGCCGACGGGAGTGAAACGGTATTCACCAATTCGCAATAGCTGATGCAGATCCCAGGGCTCGATCCCTAGTTCCCACCTTACCTGTGTACAGTATCTGTGTCGGCCCTTAGAGCTGAACCCGTCACCTGTGTATTTGTAACAGTGGTAGACCGTCGTAGGGTCCTGAGGTCGCAGGGGTTCAATCTGTAGACCTGTCGAGTAGGAGTCTTAGTCAGGTCTAGAAGTCATAGTTGTAGCTTTCCCGAAAGGTCAAGGTCGTAGCTGCTACAGTCCAGAAGGGTCAAGGTCGTAGCTGCTACAGTCACGAAAGGCCAAGTCTACGGCCTTCCGGAAGGTCCCAGTAGTGGCCTTTCGAAGTTGCCCACGTTTAGACTGAGGCAAGTGGGCAAGTGGCGAGGCAAGTGGTCAAGTGGTGGAGTCTACCCGTGCCGAGTCAGCAGTCCCAGTCCCCAGTCAGTCCTAGTCCAGTCAAGCAAGTACCGCATGGGACTGTGTGCACTTCGGGCATGGGAAAGGGCCAGACCAACGAGCTGCAGAAGTATAAATCAAGAGGCAGCGCCTAGTCATTCATTCATTCCTGCGTGAGCCATGTGGAAGCGCTGCCACAAGCGACTTGTGCAAGGAGGTTTGCAGTGAGCCCGAGGGAGAAGTGGGCGAGAGAGGAGGAGTTAGCCATAGTGATAGGGTAGTAGCAGCCATAGCTGCCATAGCTATAGTTGGAGTTCAGTGTGTGTGTGCGTGAGTGTTCAAAGAGTCGCRTGTGGGATATCCAGGGTGATCCAGTGTATGTGAACAGAGAGTTGTTTGGGCGCTGTGTCGCCATAGCCATTGAAAGTGAACTCGTGTCTGGGTTGCCATATCTCTGAGTACTGAGTGGGCGCATGTCGCCAGTTGCTGCGCTACTGTTTGCATGCATGTAAAGTGTGAATGAGAGCGAGTCTGATTGCAATGCAGGATTTTGTTGATTTTTGCAGAAAATAAATAATTAATGCAAATCCCTTCTTGTTGAGCCAGAGCAGAAACCCTTACCAGGTTATCTGCTCGAGATTTCTTAATGTCAGACATTGTCCGACCATTTATTGAAAATTCCTCGACTGGATGAGATTCACGTGCAATAACCCATGCCATATGTCTCGTGGAAAGACTGAGGGCCAGCTCGGCCACCCTCAGCCCAGGCCAAAACGGAGGCAAGAAGGACCCCAAACAAAGACTCAGGGCCTGGATGTGTGATAGGGGACTCTGGTCAACTGTCGTGACCCCAACAGTCGAAGTCCAAAGGTACCTAGCCCAGGCCACTAGTCAAGCACACACACTTGTTTGTATGCAGGTACCCAGACAGCATCAGGTCCAAGGGAGAAGTCTGCAACTGTACAATCCGGGCCCTCAGCTGTGAGTCAATCTGGACGACTGTGGGAAAAGCACCCGAGGCTGGACAGCCTCGACAACTGTTACTTAAGGTTGGCCTCGAGTGAGCATTCAGTCTTGCTATGTTGTTTTGACGCTGGCTTGACTTTGACTAGACGCCGGCATTATGCTGGCTCGACGCTGGCTAGGCGCTGACTGTGCATTGGCGATGCGGACGACGGCACGAGGTGGAGACAGCGTGCTGGCGGTTTCTGCATTGTGCGCCGGGCTTGTTGAGGTGGCATGTTGATGTGGCGTTAGTCTACATTGCATGCTGACGTGGCGCTACCTCTGGTCTACATTGCATGCTGATGTGGTGCTACCTCTGGTCTACATTGCATGCTGATGTGGCGCTACCTCTGGTCTACATTGCA